CAATTATACATAAGAGTTAAAGCTCTTAGAACTAACCGTGGCTATGAATATCTATTTAAGAAATTTAAGAAATTGTGTGATGGAAAAAGGATAGCAAGATCGCTATCTACTCCTAGAACTCCGTAACAAAATGGTGTTGCAGAGAGAAGGAATAGAATCCTTCTTGACATGGTTAGATCAATGAAGGAGCAAGCTAATTTACATATTTCTTACTAGGGAGATGCATTATTAACTGCAACCTACATTCTTAATTGTGTGCCATCTAAGTCTGTACCTTCCACTCCACATGAGCTATGGACCAATAAAAAACCTGATTTAGGTAATTTGCGGGCCATAGGGATCTACAGTTTTTGTTCACCAAACTTCTCATAGATATGGAAAGTTGGGTCCAAGAGGAAAATTTTATCTATATTAGATATCCTGAATATTTCAAGGGATATGTTTTTATTAGTGAAGAAGCTGATGGAAGTGTGACAGAAATTGAGTCACGAGATGCTACCTTCCTAGAGGAAGATTTTCCTAGCAGATGCGAGGTAACTAAGGATTTCCAATTTTATGAATTGGAAATATTAGATTCTATCACTCATGAAAAATCAGTTGGCATAATAGATGAAATTGCTCATCCTCATATGGCTAGTGGAAGCGGCACATCTAGTAGGCCAACTCTAGTGGAGCGAAATCAAGTGGAACCTCAACCACGTAAAAGTGCTAGAGGTAGGATCCTTCGCCGTCATTTTGAGATTGAGGGGGAGGCCTTCATGATAGCTCCAATAAATGATGAAGAGCCTAAAACTATCTAGGAAGCTCTTGCAGGCCCTACTGCTGGGGAATGGATCAATGCAATGCAGGAAGAAAGAAAGTCTATAAACAATAATCATGTTTGGGACTTGATTGACCTTCTACTTGGGCATAAAACAAGTGGGTTCTCAAAATCAAACACAAGGCAGATAGCTCTATTGATAAGTATAAGGGTCGTCTTGTGGCAAAAGGCTATACTCAAAAGGAGTGAATCGATTATGAGGGAACCTTCTCACCAGTTGTTAAGTTTGCCTTGATTCATCTTATTCTAGCTATTGTCGCAAATATGGATCTAGATCTCTATCAAAGAGATGTAAAAATTATATTTCTTAGTGGAGAATTGGATAAGGAAGTCTATATGGACCAACCTGATAGCTTCGTGGCCGAAGGTCAAGAACTCAAAGTTTACAAGCTCCCTCGATCTATCTATGGCCTGAAACAAGCTTCAAGACAGCGGAACCTAATATTTCATCAAGTCATTTTAGTAGATAGGTTTATGATGATGGAAGAGGATCATTGTGTGTACATTAAAAGGTCCAGAGATAGTTTTGTGATCCTATATTTTTATGTGGACGACATGTTTTGGCTAGAAATAAAAGAGAGTTGATTGATGCCACTAAAATATGGTCATCCTCCAATTTTGAGATGAAGGATATGGATGAGGCTAGTTATATTCTTATAGTAAAGATTGTTAGAGATCGCTCTAAAAGGCTTTTGGTTTATCTCAAGAGACTTATATTAAGAAGATGCTTGAGCAATATCAAATGCATAACTGCAAACCCATAGATACTCCTGTGGAGAGAAATTTGAGCCTAAGCCTTGATATGCGTCTTAAGACTCTAGAGGAAAAGGAAAAAATATCAAGAGTTCCCTATTCTAGTGCTGTTGGAAGTCTCATGTACAATATAATGTGTACAAGACCCGACATATGTTATGTTGTTGGACTTGTCAGTCGATTCAGGCGATTCAGGCAAATCCAGGACTTGCGGATTGGAAGTTGGTCAAGAGGATTTTGAGATATCTAAGAGGGACATCAAACTATATATTATGTTACTATGCTTGAAACTTGTGCTTAGTAGGTTACAGTGATGCTGATTGGGGAGGTGATCTAAATGAGCGTAAATCAACATCAGGGTATGCTTTTCTGCTCAACAATGGCGCAATATCTTGGAGTAGTAAGAAGTAATCTTGTGTAGTCTTATCTACCATGGAGACTGAGTGCATAGCATGTTCTGCAGTAGTGAGGAAAGCTGTTTGGTTGAGGAGATTCATGCAGTGCTTAGAGATTGTCACTGATGCATCTGATCCCGTGACAATCAACTGTGATAGTATGGCTACACTTGCCTACACCAAGGATTCCAAGTATCATGAGAAAACCAAACACATATAGCTAAGATATCACTTCATCAGAGACATGATGGTGCAGAAGGAGGTGGTCTTACAACATATTTTTACGAGTTAGATAGTTGCAGATCCATTTACCAAGCCTATTATTAGGGATTTATTTGTTTCACATGTTAAATACCTAGGACGTCGTAGAATATGACTGTACTTATGATTTGTAGACTACTATATGATTTGTATTAAACGATGATACATTTGGTGTACTTGTATGATTGATTAAACAGAGTAGATATATATTCACATATATTTGTGGCACAAAGTATCATTTGGCAACTAGCAAATTCTAAGAAGTATGTCAGTAGGTTAAGATTGGCTTTCTCACACGAGCAATCACATTTTGGTGCTGATGAATCGAGCAAAAATGAGACATAGGTTAGTTATAGCGCTAAGAAAGCGAGCAAAACTAAAATTTTAATGTCGCCTTGGTAAGGACAAAGATGAGGCTTTTAAGAGAAAAAATAGCCGACCTGAATGTTTCCCCACCATTCATGAAATCTATACATAATGCCAGGCACGAAAAATTTATTTGGCGCTGCTGAAAGTGAGCAAATGAGTATCTCGAGTTAGTTGCTTATGATACGACTGAACTAAGACCTATACGCGGTGTGTAGAGTTTAAGACATACACTCTAATTTGGTAGAGTTCTCCATCGTAGCATGCATTTCATACTACATGTGCATAGCGACCAAATAAGTAAGTGGGTGAATGGGTCCCTACTTTCTCATTGTGTGAGTCCTAGAGGTCAAAAAAATGATCTCATTTGTACCTTATGTGACTTTTAACTATGTCATGAAGTGGAGAGTTAATGAAAGCTACTCTAGTGTGTTACATATGGTCATGATTGATTTGGCCTAACGGGACATTGCTGGGCAAGCAGTTAGCTCGAGACTAAGTGGTATGAGGGCAAAAGGAAGATTAATTTGGAATTACACACATCACTTGTATTCACTTGCTAGTCAGTCGTGTCACTTTAATGCGAACGGACATGACTATGGATACATATGGAGTTTAGAAAGGATTGAGTGTGGATCTAGCAAGGGATTTATATACGCTTAATTCTGTGTAACCAAATAAGTCTGGCATGCTGCGATACACTATTATTTAATTGCTTTCATGTTTTCGGGTTGATGTCTCCATCCTAACCCTAACAGGTTTCTAGTTTGGAACTCCCAAGTGCATGTGTATTTGCTGGTCGCACGACTCGTTTGTATGAACTTGACTCAAAGTTTGGCTATTTCAACATGACAGACGTTGGTTATACTCGTCATGTGCAAGTGAGAGATGTAGGAAGTGGAGAAGTATGGTTACGCCCATAATCGTATAACCCCTCCATCATGGGTAGTTATAGCAACTAACCGTGCCCAAAATTAAAGCTTACAAAAGTCTCCCTCTGTCGAATGAACAGTAATCTGAGAATTCAAAAAAGAATACTTGTGAGATAATTGCCATCAAAAAGCTAGAGAGACATCTGAGTTGTGAATCGTATTTCCGTTTCATCACTATAAATAGGAGTTTGATGGCAATTATCATGGAGTGCATGAATCTGGCCAACGACGATAAAGATCCTAGAACAGTTCGAACCGGTAACATTCTAATTCCGCATTTCCGATTCGTTAATTATCCTCTGAAATATAACAATATTGATTTTCGTTAGTTCAGTATGCACTCCACACTAAATGGAAGATGAATTTCTCTAGCATATGGAAATATTTTGGTTAGTTTAATGTTTATTACTCTCGGAGAGACATCAGGTGCAGTTGATTTTATGTTGAACAGTTCTTGTTTGCGACCACGCATAAGGTTAAACTTCTTTATCAACCAAACAGTCTCAAAGTTATAACCTTGAAGCCTTCACATTAGGGAAATAAAAATAAATAAAGAATGATGAAATAGCAGGAATATAGCATCTCAACTTTCCCTTAGTTGGTCCGCTAAGGGGTTGTTTGGTTGTTGTTGGTAAAGTTGTGTATTTATGACACAACTTGAAAAGTTGTTGTCCATCTCATCAATTTCACTTTTATACTTTTCTTTGTTTGTTTTTTATTCCATTGGAATCATAAATTGCTTGTTTGGTTTGCAAATATAACTATGAAATTATTTTTGTTTGGAAAGTGTAAAAAGTGGTCTCTGCTCAAATGATCATATTGGTTGAAATTATTTTTTATTATTTTTTCCTGACTTCAATGTCAGTTTTCTCCTAAAATCATGTCTTTTTTTATGAAATCACTTTACAAGCCACATCAGTATATGAAATCACTTTACACTATTTTCACAACTACAAACAAACAATTGAAAGTGATGAAAGCTGACATTGGGACCCATTTTTTTATACTTTCCATCCTTTTACATGGTAAAAACATACAACCAAACAGCCCTTAGAACTTAAAAACAAATCAAAACATTATTTCAGTGAAGAAATACATTAAAACCAACTAATTGGAGGACCACTCACTATCAGAATGACAGGACATGTAATTTCTTCTCAAGAAAAAATAAAATAAAAATAAAATATTTCTGCAACTAGAAGCCAACTCTTTCTTACATTATGGCGTAACAAGCATCAACAATAACTTGTACCCCTTACTATGAAATTGTACTCCGAGAGACGTTTTATACAATTTACTTGAAGAAGCCTACAAACCCTACTCTTCGTTAAGAACTAAAACATCAGGAAGATGTTGCTCTCCTTTTTCTGTGAAAATTATACAAGTTTATTGGCAATAAAGACAATCTAATTAGTACAAGATCAATAATCTCTATTTCGCTAATCACAGCCTACTGACTCCTCTTAACATCTATATCGAAAATAAATGAATTTACCAATTATCTGCATTCAATTTCTCAGTCCTAAGTATATGATCTATTGTCTAAATCAAAAATCGCTTCTTGAATTCTGTATACAATAAATTTCGTATAACAATGGATAGTAACAAAACCTTATGCTTGTCGAACATTTTAAGTATTATGCAGCACTCTATAGAGCTCATCTCTTAATGCATTAATCACCACTGGCTTATGAATGAGCCCAGTAATCCCAGACTGCAAGCATTTCTCCCAAACTGCTCCTTCTTCGCTCGCCGTCAAAGCCAAAATCACTGGCCAAGATCTACTCCGAAGCTTTCGGAGCTTTCCAGCAATGTCAAACCCATCCATTTCAGACATTTGCAGGTCCAAGATTATAACTTGATAAAGTGGGGATCCAAAGGACCCAAATAAACTTATACATTGGGTCCCGGATGAGACTGAGGTTACTTGGCAACCCAATTTCTCAAGCAGCTTTCTGGTTATAGCCCTGTTGATTGTGTCGTCTTCTGCTAGCAGAACTCTGAGGCCTTTGAACTGAGAAGTTGAAGAAGCTGTGTGTATTATTTCAGATATCGGTGTAAGAGGCTGTAGCTGGAACTGAAGAACTAGAATTATGGTCTCGGGGAGACCTTGAGGATTGGGGATAGCCCATATATTACCTTGCATCATCTGCAAGATTCAATAATCAAAGATAGAGGCTCAGTGTATAAAAACTCAGGCATGGCACCAATATAAGCTTTTTCATTAAAAATTGACTGCCAGTACATACTAGTAAGGATTTCTGTCCCATACAAGATATTCATATAAGTGTCAATCTTAAAAAAAAAACCCGCTAATTTTACAAATCAGAGAAACCTCCATGGAATTTGTCTCACATAGGTATGATGACTGACGACAATTAGTTTAAACTGTCACATGCTTCGTACATGACATGTTTTGGATAATTTTTGTCTTATACTTTAGATTGTCACATGCTTCATCACCAAAAGAGAGTTTTTCAGGTAAGGGTAGGTGGGCAGCAACAATGGCATGTTACAGTCTTTTTTCAGGTTAAGGGTAGGTGGGTAGCAATACTGGTATGTTACAGTTTTTACCCTTCATGTTCACGTCATTTTTATCGGTGTTCAAACTATGAAGATAAGTTTGAGGTTTCTTTTAAGGGAACTTTTCCTTGAACCCCTTTTTTTAAATATTTTGTTCGCACCCCCGCTGTTCCTCTCCCCAAAAAACCCTTCTCTCTCACCCTCAGTCTCTCATGTCCCCCTCCTCTTCAACCTCACATCTCCTTGCCCTCCTCCGTCATTCTCCTCCTCTCCTCTTCCTTCACTTTCACTTTTTGTTGCTTTGCACTCCTCTCTATCTCCTCCTGAACATTCATCCTCCTTCCCTCCTACTTCACCTCGATTTCTTGTCTCATTTTGTTGCTTTGCCCTCCTCTATATCTCCTCCTGAACATTCATCCTCCTTCCCTCCTACTTCACCTCGATTTCTTGTCTCATGTTCTCCTTCCTCTCCTCCTCTACTTCCACCCTCTATTTCAACCAACTCTCCCTCCGCCCCTCGTCTCACCTCCCACCTCCTTTCCTCCTTTTTTTTTACCTTCATCTTTGCCCACCTTCTCCTTCCTCTTTTCATCTCCATCCTCGCCATCCCTTCCTACTTCTCACCTTCTTCCTCAACCCTTGCATCCTTCTAAGATCAACTCCTTCAAATCTATTCTTTGTTAGACTTACGCCGAAGTTATCAAAAAAACAACTAAATGTTAACAAAATAGCATTTAGAGTTACCAAAAAACAGCTAATTTTTTATAAAAATTAACTACAAGTTAACAAAACTAGCTAAAATTAACCAAAGATAACTTAAGTTAAAAAATAAAAGTTAACATAATAACATTAAACCTAACAAAAAACAGCTAAGTTTTAATGAAAATTAACTACAAGTTAATAAAAACAACTAAAGTTAACAAAACGCAACTTAAGTTAACAAAAAACAATTGAAGTTAACAACCAACAACTAAAGTTAACAACTTTTTTTTTTGTTAATTTACCTTTTTTTGTTAATGTCGACTATTATTTGTTACCTTTAGTTAATTTTTGTTAATTCTGGTTATCTTTTGTTAGTTGTAAATATTTTTTGTTAACTTTAATTGTCAATTGTTAGCTGTTATCTATTTTTTGTCGATTTTAATTTTTTTTAGTTAACTTTTATCTTTTTTTAACTTTTTTCTGGTTATCTTTTATCTTTTTTTGTTAAGTTCGGCACGACTTTGAATTAAGGACGATGACAGATGAAGAGAGGGAAGGAGGGGCGAGGGAGGATGGAAGTATACGTAGAGAGAGGAGGTAGGAGGAGAAAAGAGGGAGGAGGTGCACGCGCAGAGATGAAGGAGAGAAGTAAAGCAAAATATAGATGAAATAGGAGGAGAAATTGAGAGCAAAGATGGAGATAGAGGAGGAGAAGAGGAGAAGAGCTGAGGTGGAAGAGGCCGAGGAGGAGGTGGGTGGGGCAGAAGTGGAGATGATAGAGAAAGAAGGGAGGAGAGCAAAAATAAATTTTGAGGAGGAAAGGAGGAGGCCAAAGGTTGGCGGAGGTGGAGGACTGAGGAGGAGGATAGGAGGAAGGAGGACTAAAGTGAAGAAAAGCAAAGAGATGAGAGGTTGAAGAGGGTGGAGAGATGACAGGTTGAACATGAGGGTTTTTTGGGGAGAAAAAGAAGGGGCGGGAGAGGAAGGGGGGGAGTTACAAAAAAAGTCGGTCAATACAGTTTTCACACAAGGAATTGTTATTGGGGGAGGGACGAACCAAAAATTTTAAAAGGCTAAATACTTATATTGGTATTTTAATTCCACCCCAATTTCCAACAAGGTATTTTAAATAGGCAAACCCGCTTTAAGACATTTTAATTGATCCAACTAATCAATAAGGCATGTTTTCTCGTCAGCGGGCAAATTTCCGACGAGATCTCGTCACGTGCATGGCACGTGATGTCTCAAAACTCATTTTTAGCAGCGGCGACGGCAACAATCTCGTCATATTCAGCCCAAAGTAGGATAAAATAACGGTTATGACGCCGCCTGAGATTGCTAACCCCATCGAATCGGCTGAATATGACGAGATTGTTGCCGTCGCCGCTGCTAAAAACGAGTTTTGAGACATCATATGCCATGCACGTGACGAGATCTCGCTGGAAATTTGCCCGCCGACGAGAAACCATGCCTTATTGGTTAGTTGGATCAATTAAAATGTCTTAAAGCGGGTTTGCCTATTTAAAATATCTTGTTGGAAATTGAGGTGGAATTAAAATACCAATATGGGTATTTAGCCAATTTTAAAAAGGGGGATCAAAACAAATTTCCTTCTTTTAAATAATAATTAAGGATTGTAACACATCTTCTAAGTTCCAAGTTGCAACTTGGTCTGTTTGCAAAACTATGGTCCAGAATTGAATCAGATATTCAAAACAGGAGTCAGATCTATTAGAACATCATTACAAGATAGTTGTTTAAGAGTAATGAGTAAATTTAGTAAGATTAGGAGTTGCTAAATCGAAAATAAGCTAGAAGATAATAGCAAAAGATAGTCGTTTAACCGATGTAGTTTATTTGTCCGTAGTATGAAGGGCTTGCTAGAAAGGTTTCCATTTAGCATCAAGGTTAAACTGAAAGTTTTGCTCTGGTTATAATTTGATCATTTTGTGCATTGCTGATTAATTACTTTAATCATAAGATAAGATAAAAATTACAACTCAAAAACATGGGAATTCCCAGCTATAACTAGAAACATATAATGTAGCAAAACTAAAGTTCTTTACTATAAAAAACAAAATTGCGAGGATCATCTCAGAGATTGATATGAACCTTGAATATTGTCAGCATGAACATCCGTAAAATGCATAAATTAGTGTCTTTAATATAATGTTGGTGTATAAACAGCATAAATAATAATGAAAATGCAGTGGTTTCTTATGATAACTAGAATACTGGATGAAGTTTCTAAAAGAAGGCAGACATGAAATTGGGTTTACCTGCACAATTTTCTTGCACATGCTGAAGCTAAGGCCCATGTCAAAACCTTTAGAATTGGGACGGTGAAAAAACTGTAGTGATGAACTCGAGCCACTATTTTCTTGTTTCTTAATCCCAATCTCAAATTTCATACAAGCATACCCATCAGAAAAATTTGATTGCCATGGAATCCATCCCAGGTCTAGCCCATCTTTATCCTCATTATAGCTACAAACTCGAAATGCCACAAATCCTTCATCACACCCATTCAATAAACTAGCTACCACATGCAATATAACTTGAAATATTCTCTTCTCATCACCAACAACCCGGTCAGGGACGACATTCTCAATCTGAAACCCGAAACCAAAACCCTTACAATCACAAAGACATCTAGCGACACTAGCAACCTCCTTAATCATAGAGTGCAATTGAAAGGATCTCATCTCCAAAGTTAGTCGATCATCATCATTTACGGTGGATATGTCCATCACATCATTGATCAAAGTTGAAACTACACCGCCAGTTTTAGCCATAGTATTGACAATAAGCCTCTGTTCAGGACTCAATTTATCTTGTTGCAACATAGACAACAAGCCCAGAATAGAATGAATCGGCCTTCTCATTCCTTGACTCATCACATTTTGGAACGAGTTTCTCGCTTCACTAGCCATTAAAGCATTCTCCTTCTCAATTAATAGAGCCCTATGTTGCTCCTCTAATTTGTCTCTCATCAGCTGAGACTCCTCCAAAACTGAAGCATGAGAGAGAGCAACAGCCACCTGATCGGCCACCACTTCAACAATTTCTAACTCATGGCTACTCCAGACCCTAGAATTATCACCGGGAAGAACTAAGACCAGTATTGCATAATGAGTTTGGATAAACTCCGGTGTCCCGCCTTTGAAATTGGAGACCTTTAGCATTGGCATTCGAATTGCAGCCACTGGCCCTGGCTCGATAGCAGATCCTTGGCCGCTAGCAGAAGAAAGCAAGGAATCTGGCCTTAATATCTTCACCCCCTCGGCTTCTTTGATCTCCAATACATCCGGGTCATCAATAGCAACGGAACTACTGTACAGATCAGAAGGGTTCCTCAGTCTCAGCTCGTGAGTCAAGTTCATCTCTTTCTTATCCTCACTTGGCATCCAAACCGCACAATTCTGCAACCCCAAAGTATTTGATAGCTCCACCAAAGTAGTGTACAAGATTGTGTGCCTATCAAGGGATTTCCTGATTTCTTGAGTCAACATTCTAACATGCCAACTTGCTTCCTCCTGCATCTTCATCATTCCAACCTCTCGATCTAATTCCCGGGCTTTTATCCTCAAGAAATTCTCTCTCACCTTGATTCTTAACAACTGAGGGATCAAAGTTAACAGGGTTATCGCCGTTGCAAAGGAGACAAGGGCAGTGAAGAATTTGGAGATGGTGAGGCTCAGCATCAATAGAAACGAATGAGGCTCATATGTGAACACATTGAGAAGGTGGGTAAGCCCACAAAGAACGATAAAAGCGCCAAACTGAATCACAATCCATTTGAACGGGAATAAACTGGAGCAAGTTGCAAAGTATAGGAGCTCTAAAGGGATAGAGAAATAGGCAGCTGCAATGAGAAAGTCACTAACTTTTTGGCATTGGAGGATGCCTTCGACGGTCCATAGGCTATCGCCGTCGCAGTTACAGCGAGGGTAGCAGGTGGGTAAGCCCACAAAGAACGATAAAAGCGCCAAACTGAATCACAATCCATTTGAACGGGAATAAACTGGAGCAAGTTGCAAAGTATAGGAGCTCTAAAGGGATAGAGAAATAGGCAGCTGCAATGAGAAAGTCACTAACTTTTTGGCATTGGAGGATGCCTTCGACGGTCCATAGGCTATCGCCGTCGCAGTTACAGCGAGGGTAGCCAATTTCAATGGCAGATGATGGAAGGAGAAGAAGGGAAGAGACTAGCAGGCCATAGAAGAGTAATTTTAACATTTGCTCTAACAAACTTCACTCCTATCTGTTCATGTAAAAAACATACCAGAGAAATTTGCAAGGTTCAAGATACTTCACTTGAAGATACCACCCTCAGCCCTGAATCAAACACAAAAAAAAATGAAAAGAAATATGACCATCAAATAAAGAATGGTTACCAAATTTAGCACAGATATGGCAGATCCTGAAATTAAGCCCTAGAACCCAAAACTGGTTTCTACACATGAATCAAATTAAAGAGTTATGATGGCTTAAGACCCTTGGGGAAAAAAAAAACAATAAGTTTCTCAACAATGAAACATGCCCATCAAGCCAAAGGCAGCAAAGAGGGATCCCCACCCATCAAAATCCAATCTTTTGATTTCCTATATTCATCCCCCCTAACTCTCTTTCACTGTATATTATTAAAAAAAGGGAACCTTTTAAGACTGTATAAAAAGTAACCAACTGGAAATTAACAATTGGCAGCAGACAAACAGCAAACAAAACAGTGGGAGGACTAAAATATCAGAATACCAGTACCTATAAAACCACCATCAGCAGCAATCTAACAAAGAAGAAGAAGGGCAAATCCCAAAGAATCCCTTGATGCGAGGACCCATTTGAAAAATCTTTGGCAAGGGGTATTATTATTAGTGAATGCTTGTTCTCCTCAGCTTGGGATTTTGAATCCATGGCATTTGAGAGCACGAAGGTTCGACGAGAATTGCGAGGAAAAGTTGGGTTTTTTAAGGGACATGATTTGTTTATATTTTGCGAAGACAGAATAATAAACAATAAACAAACAGGGGCTTGGCATTTCCAGTCCTCTGAGTTTATAAGCCGCAATGATGATCTAAGTGGAAATTATGGGTATATAGATGATTTCAACACGGAAATTGCTTTTCCTCTCTTTGGGGATGTTTGGTTGCTGAAAAAAAATAAATTGCAGCAAATAAATATTGCATGCAGTATTTATTGTATAAAATTAATTTTAAATTTGTTGTTTAGATATCTACAATTATATTGTAGAAAATATATTTTTAATGTAAAATTTAGTGTTTGATTAAAAAATAATTAGTGCAAAAGCCATAAAATATTTTCAAGGCTAAATATTAGAAAACCACCCTTAACTTTGGGACATTGTCAGCGAACACCACTTAACTACCAAAAAATCAGAAAACACCCCTCAAATTTAGGGTTATCAAAAAACACCCCTTAACTTTGATATTTTATCATAAAACCCCCTAATTTAGGGGGCTTTTATGATAAAATTTCAAAGTTAATAGGGTTTTCTGATAAAATCTCAAAGTCAAAGGGGGTTTTGTGATAATCCCAACACTTAAGAGGGTTTATTTTGATATTTTGAAAGTTAAGAGGGGTTTTCCGATAATCGTCCAAAGTCAAGGGCGGTTTCCTCGTATTTAGCCTTTTCTCGATATAAGCAAACTTGATGAAGGTGGTTTTCATTTAGGGGCTGTTTGTTTGGTTTCCTAAAAACCAAGAAAACCAAGAAATGGAAATGGAAAACATGAAAATCTCAAAAAATACTATTTCCTCCATTTCCATCCCTAAAACTCACCCACAACATCCAATAAAATATTATTTTCATCCAACAACTCATCCACATCATCTAATAAAATATTATTTCCATCTAACCACTCATCCACCATATCTAATAAAATATTATTTTCATCTAACAACTCATCCACCACATCTAATAAAATATTATTTTCATCCAAACATCACTCAACTCATCTCTTTTCATCATTTCAAATCACTCACATCATCCAATAAAATATTATAACAATTCACCTCATCTCATTAACATTTCATTTCTCCATTTTCATCCCAAAAAGTTATGAAAACACTTTTCTTAATCTTTCTTCACATCACCCAATAATACAATGACAACTCACCTCATCTCATTTCATTTCTTATTTTTAAGAATGAACCAAACAAAAGAAAACAACAAAACTACAGGAAATAAGTTTCTTATAATTTATTTCCTTATTTTTTTCGCCAACCAAACAACATCAAAACTAGTTTTCTTAAAAAATCACTCACATCATCCAATAATAATTTGACAACTAACATTATTTCATCTCCATTTTTTTGATTTCCTTCTTTTTTTAGCCAACCAAACACTCCCAAACCAATTCTTCATTTTAATAGTTTTCCATTTCTTTGATTTCCCTCTTTTTTTAGTAAAACAAACAGCCCCTTAGTATTAAGTTTTCTTTTTTAAAAGACTTATATCTTTTCTTCCAAACAAAGTGGTCATAGCATTTGTTTCAAGTTTTTTTCTATAAATGCAGATTCATTTATAGTTTCTAACTACATAGTCGGAAACCAAACCATATATTCGCAAAATCTTACTCTTGCCAGTTCATTTCCAACCAAACAAGTTTATGTTTTCTATTTCACCTCACATTAGTTTCAAATTAGAGAAATAATTAATTGTAAATTATCAGGTTAATATTGCAATTTAATACCCTAGATGTTTACTGTTTTTAACTTTGATATTGAAGTTTAAACTTGCCCGGGAAACACTCCAAATTTCAACATCTTTAACGTCAACACCCTTCGTCAGGTAGTCATTCACAACTTTGTTTAAAAGGAGTGTTTCTGTTACAAGTTAATAGAAAATTGAACTTATTTGTATTTGGAAAAGTGAAAAACATAGTTATTTTTTCTTATTCTAATGGGTTTAGAGTTAAATAGCTGAAGGAGGAAGAAAGAGCTCGTAAGATTTCATTCTTTTTTTTTTTTTTGGTGGTATAGAAGTCCTAATATTTATCATGTGATAATCAGGTGAATATGTTTTAAACTGAATTCAAAACGTTAATGTAACAAAAAAATTAAAAGGGGTAAAACTTTTGTCATATTTTTTGAGCAAATTTTTAAACTTCAAAAGTATCAAAGTTAAAAAAAACAAATGAAACTCCTGTTGGATGCTTTGTTCATGAAAAAGTCAATTTTACCTTTGTGAATAGTTTCACATTGGAAAATGAGATGAATAGTATAGGGTATATAATGGTTCTCTCCCTATTGGGCTTTGAATAGTGTTTTGGGTTTTGTGGGCTTTGCATATCTATCACACGCGCGCGCGCACACGCCACGCCTCGCTCGCACCGCACACGCACACATTTTTGCTTCTCAAGCTTTTATTTTTGCACGTTTTACACGTTCTGTAACGGCTACATGCGGGTAACAGAAGCAAGATTTGTGCGTAACGGTCCCTTGGATTCAGCGGGGGTTACACCTCTCTTCATCTATATAAGCAGGCTTGGAGCTCATTCAGAAGCACACCAACGAAGAGAAGAACTTCTAAGCTCTCTTCTTTCTCTACTTCTCCAAGAAATTTCGACTACATATTTATATTCATTTTTTGGGCAACCGTTTTCGTCTGAGCATAAGCTCTGTGACTCACGCCCGAGTGCAGAGGTCGGCCGATTCCAGAGGTTTTACCGCTAGGGGAGAGGGGATAAATTGCGTCAGGGTGATAGACGGGTCCTTAATCTTCTAGGGCAGTGACATCACGACTGCTCCAGATCAGGCCTGAATTTTCTAAATCTTTAATTTGGATTTTATATTATTATATTCCTGTTTTGACAGCAATTTAGAAGATTAAGTAAAATTTCTTGCTGTAAATTTAAATAAAAAAAAGCAAAATAAATAAAAAAATTTTACTGTTCATCGGGATTACTGTTCACCCGAATCTTTATATCTTATAATTACTTGTTGTATTAGTTAATACTTAATCGATCATTGATCAACCTCTAGTACTATCCTTACCTGGCCAAACTACCCGAGTAAAACTTTAATCTTTTCACTTTTAGAGTTTTTGGTTAAGAGCAGGTTTAATTAAGTTTCTGGTCTAGTAATATTGACAAAATCCTTTTTTATATCAGATTACATCTACCTAGACTAGTAAACTCAAATTGGACTTATGGCAATTCCTGATCATTCAAAAAGTGTCAAACCTGATAAGTTTACCGGTGTCAACTATAAACGGTGGGCTAATCAGATGAAATATTGGCTCACTACCTTAGGTCTTTTATCAGCTATTGACATTTCTGAGTCATCTACTAGTGGTTCTCAACCTTTGACTCCTGATCCTGCTCAACCTGCTCCTTTCACTTCTGGTTCTGGTGCTAGCTCCTTTTCTAGCTCTATGAAACCAGAAGAAATCAACTATCATTGTTGTCATAGGATTCTTAGTGCACTTGCGGACAACCTTTATGACATATATTATGAGTTCAAAAGTACAAAAGACCTATGGAATGCTCTTGAAGCAGAATATGGCTATGATGATGCCGAAATTCTGCGTTTCACCTCCTCCTCCTTCAATAAGTTCATGATGGTTGATGACAAGCCCATTAATGAACAAATTCATGAATTCCTAGATTTCCACCGTCATCTCCAATCAAAAGGAAACACTTTTACTGACGATTATAAAGTTTCCTGTTTGATTGATAAACTTCCTCCCTCCTGGTCTAGATTTGCTGGAGATCTCCGACACAAGCAAGGAGATCTAACCTTAACTGAAGCCCTCAAGGCTATTCGTATTGAAGACCAGCATAGGCAAAATTCCAACACCAAGAATGAAACAAAAGCTAAAGTAAACTTGGTAGAGGATAAGCTTAAATCTAAGAATTTCAAATCCAAAGGGAAGAAATTCAAGAAAAATCAACAATCTTTCAACAAAATTTTCAATAAATCCTCCTTCAAATCAAATCCCAATTCTTCCAGCCATAAGTCTGATGAGAAGTTCTGCTTTGTCTGTGGTAGAACCAACCACATGGCTCACAACTGTTTCTTTCGGAAGAAGGAACCGGCCAAACCTGCCCCTAAAGGAAATGGATCCAACAAATTAAATATAATTGAAATGAATCCAACCTCCTTCAGGTTAGCCTCTTCATCTCATCTTGTAAATTCTCTAACTTCTTCCACTGATTGGTATTTGGATTCCGGAGCAAATATCCACATCTGTAATGACCGCTCTTGGTTTTTAAATTATCAGGAATCACGTGGAGGAAGCATAAGCTTAGCAGATGACTCCACTAGATCAATAATAGAAAGTGGACATATAGAGCTCACCATGACTTCTGGGAAAGCTCTTCATCTGCAATGCGTTTATCATGTTCCTTCTCTCCGTCGCAATCTGATTAGTGAATCTCTTCTTCTTAGAGATGGTTATAGGATTGTAAAAGAATCCAATAAATTTGTGATTATAAAGAGTAATGTTTTCATAGGAAAATGTTTTATCTGCAATGGTCTTTTCAAACTCAATGTAATCAATTCCAGTTCTAATAAAATTTCTGAGTCTTCTGTTATACAAATTGTTGAATCTTGTGATGTCTGACATGGACGACTTGGACATGTCAATTTTCAAACCTTGCAGAGAATGAGTAAATTAAACCTTATTCCCAAATCTTCTCATGACTCCTCATCTAAGTGTGAAATCTATGTTCAAGGGAAACACACTAAAAAACCCTTCAAGTCTATAACTAGAAACTCCGAACCCCTCGAATTAATTTATAGTGATGTGTGTGACTCAAACCGAGTTCTCACCCGAGGGGGTAGGGGGTATTTTGTGACTTTTATAGACGATCACTCCAGATATTGTTACACCTATCTTCTTAAAACTAAAGATGAAGTCTTAGATAGATTTAAGGTGTATAAAGTTGAATCTGAGAACCAACTTGACAGGAAGATCAAGATTCTAAGATCTGATCATTGGGGGGGGAGTATACCTCAAATCATATGTCTGAATATTGCCAAGAACACGGTATTATTCATGAGGTTACTGCTCCCTATACACCACAGTCTAACGGGGTAGCTGAACGAAA